AATAGATTTCCTAGCCAGGAACTCGTGCAAACTCTTAACAAATCAGGGACATTGTCATGGTGAATAATATCATTTCTGTTGGGCATATATTGACTTGCATAATAATAATTGTCTATATCTCTGAGATGGGGTATTATGATTATTTACATTATTTACATTACTCAGACTGTTATCCTAATCTTCATTGCCATAATTACAACGTTTCGGCCGTTGTACGCTCCGGCCTTCTTCAGTGGATAAAGACGTTAGTCAGATCCCGTGACTAGACCCAAAGAGTTGTGAATTCAATGCCAGACTACAGCAGTGATGAACAAAAAGAACTTGGAGAGTTGAGTTAAAGGGAAATATCTTAGATATCCGGAAGAGGCATGGCACGTAGAACTAGAACAATCACCTGACGAAGGCCGGAGCGTACCACGGCCGAAACGTTGTGAATCTGACAATAAGGATAATAATATGAGGATAACAGTCCGAATAAAGTAAATAATTTTAATAATAATAATAGTTGTAATTAATTTGTGAGTCTGTGTCACTGTGTACGTGTTTGAATCAGCTAACTTAGATAGATAGATAGATAGATAGATAGATAGATAGATAGATAGATAGATAAAATTTAATTTGATCTAATTTGCTTTGTTTATTACGATTTATTAAACCTTTGGTGGTTTTTTAATGCGAAAACATTGCATTGTAATAATTCTTTTCTTACGAGTGAATATTACATCAGGAGTTTTTGGAGATAACAATGTTTTTTTACGATACACGTTGTCATGGTGGATAATTCCCTTTTCAGGCCAGATTTTCGGGTCTTTTACTGCAAAGAGATTTTCGTAAACCTTTCAGTACTCCCCTCCCACCAAAAAAAAAAAAAACTGCGTCTGCTCTTTGTGTTTTGGGCGGCTGACAATTTAATTAATCATGCATACCTATCAATTCCTTGAACTGTTTTCTACTCCATTCATAAACACACAAATTTTTCAATGCCCGTTCATTATATACCATTTTTAATAGAGTTAAAGTTTCACTAGCACATTTATTAATCTTTTCACAAAACTTGATGTTAATCCACTACTTAAGATTCCTTTCATTCATTTTCCGTCAATGGTGTCGCATGAACACCTACAACTTCTTCTACTGCTCGGCAGCGAAACATTCCTCTGGTCTTTGTCTTAAGAAAACGGGAGTCGGTGCTTGTCTCTCCACGATATATATATATATATATATATATATATATATATATATATATATGTGTGTGTGTGTGTGTGTGTGTGTGTGTGTGTGTGTGTGTGTATCGTGGGAGAGTACTTGATTCGGGTAAGTGTTTATGTAAGAGTTTGATGAATATTTTTCCTGCGTTTGTTTTCACGTTTTTGTTGTACGGTGGGTTGAACGATATGATGTTTCTCTTCCTGTTGGCTTTTTTATCCTCTGTGGTGTGCATGTGAGTATTGCCGGAATCCGCTATAAATGTCCCCGAAGTCATATCATCCTTGTTAGACAAGGCGAAAATCTTCGCCTCGATCTTTGCCACAAACAACGTTAGATGACAAAGGCCATCCTCTCCCCAACTTCGCACGTCTCACTGAGCAAAATCTCAGTAATATAATCATTTCAGCAAGAGAAGTCTCTAGACTTATCAAAAGCCTCGGCACCCCCAAAAAATCCACTGGCCCAGAGAAAATTCCTATGGTCGTCCTTAAGAATATCAACCCAGAATTATATCCGAAGTTATTTAACGGCTGCTTGAAGGTGACAAGCGTATGCCCGGTCTTCACATGTATTTATATATGTGTAGTATTTTGAATATTAAATTACTTGTAATCTGTATATGTATATAGATGTATATACCTTAGAATTAATATTTGTAATATATGTGTGAATAGATGTATAACATTGTAATATAAATACATATGCATGTGTGGATAGTTATGGGTAGAATTCTTTTCATATGCTTTTTATGTATATAATCGTGTGTGTATATGTAGGTATATGTATTTATGTATGTATGTGGTTGTATATGTATATAAGGGTGTGTATATGTATATGAGTATACCTATATGTATATATGTATATATATATAGATAGATAGATAGATAAATAGATTGATATATATATATATATATATATATATATATATATATATATATATATATATATATATATATATATATGTGTGTGTGTGTGTGTGTGTGTGTGCATACGTGTATGGAATATTTTTAAATGGAAGTACTTGGGTCATTCTAATGGTATTTTAAAATTACTCTTTTTAATATTTAATATCATTTTCTCTTTTAATGTTCTATAATTAGAATTTTGAGAGTGTATTGTTATCTTCTGGAGGGAGTTTCATTTTAAAATTGATAATTTAAATTCAAATATACCACTCTTTAACTATTAATAGTAATAATAATATTAACGAAATTCCTTTAATAATGAAGCACTTCAGAAGTCACCTAAAGTTAAACTTTAACTATAAAATCAAACTAAAATCTAAATAAATTTCAAATATTAAAATATAGGTAATGATTGAGAAATATATGTATATATAATTTATGTACGAAGATAGATGAACATTTGTGTATATTGTTACACGTGTGTCTATGTGTGTATTTGCACATGTAAATAAACGTATATATATATGGATTTGCATGAATATGTTTGTGAGATATATATAAGAAGAAAACAAAATCTTTAATATTACCCTCAAATATTATTAAATAATGAAACCTAAACCTTAATTAAGTTTACCCATATAATAATAAAGAAAATTGCATTCATAAATTAGATTAAAAGTAAAACTAATATAGATGTTACCGAATTTTTTTTACAATATTATGGAAGTACAAATTATTATAATTTTAAATATTTCTTTAATATGTTCTCGATAAATGTGCTAATAAAAATAGTAGTTAACTTATATTAAGTCCCTAAACTATTTACTTAAAAAATTAAATGTTTAAATTGATGACATTCATCATTTTTTTAGACATCTAAATTTCTATCAAGCATTGAAATCTATCTTTTACATAATTTTGTTAAAACAAAATTACAGCCTCTTTCGATTCACTTCCCTCTCCCCCTCTCTCTTTGCCGTAACACTCATTTGGATATATCTGTATTACTGTCGTCTGTCTCCTCTCTCTTTTCCATTTTTCCTTTTCTTCTCTCCCCACTCCCCTCCCATTCCTATATATCATTTCCGTTAAGTTAACCATCTAAATAGGTCATGGTTCGGTCACTCCTCCTACTCCAATATAAGCATGCTTACGAGAGATATGAAATTAACCCCTCCCTATACTCTACCTTGTCTCATTAACTACAACTCTCACCCCCCCCCTGTTAAATTAAAAAAATTACACTACCCATCAATTTCTAATCCCATTTTCACTTTCATTTCGTTGTTGGAATTGTTACCTGATGATCCGGAGTTCTTTAAAAAGGATTTTGGTGAAATAAATTATTTTAATTAAATATATATATATATAGGTAATAATCGGTTGGTACATAATCCAAATGAATCCTATTAATACAATATTAAGTATTAAATATTAAAATTGATTCACACAAAGAGCTCAATGTTTTAATTAAACAGAGCAACATATTTCATGCAATAGGAATTAAGATTACATTAGGTTAATGATCATTTTCACCTTGTAAATTGAAATAAATTTTACGAGGATTTTTCAAAACAGTCAATGAACGATAAATTATTGAAATAAAAATGGCCAGACAGAGAAAGGAAAGAGATAAACCCATTTATATGATTGAGAGATAATTCAGAATTAAAGATAATTCCTATTGTATGATATATATATATATATATATGTGTGTGTGTGTGTGTGTGTGTGTGTGTGTGTGAATAAATAAAGAACAAGTATAAAACCTTTATAAATTTTATATATTACGCTATTTATGTAGCTTCATCAAAAATTTTAGGAGTGGAATGTTTCGGAGTTATATTTCAGTTTTTGATTTCAATCTGGTTTTGTTTTCCTTGCTTGTGTAGATGTCACTTATATATTCGCGTTCATCATCAACATCATCATCATCATTCTACGATCTCCCTATGGTTGGTCGGAACTCCATTGACAATCCCTTTCCACATTGTTCGGTTCTGTATTGCTGTCCCCAGATCCCCAATATCCAACGCTGAGTCCCGAGCCATGGAAAAGTGGGAAAGTGGCCGGCAAACTATAATCGTTTTTGTTTGAGCTTAAGAGAGATTGGTCTCAGTTCTCCGTAAATTGCGTTAAGCGTTGCATAGGAATTCCAACTGATTTGTATATGTTTCATCCAGTCGTCTTTCAAGGCGAACAGAAAATGTCCAAGTTTCTGATCCATACAGTAGGACTGATTCAATTAATGTTCGAAAGGTTTGGACTTTTAAGGAGGATGGAAGGTTCGAGCGTCAAATCTTGTGAAGATTGTTACACGCATCCATTGCAAGAGCCTTGCGGATTTTGAAGTCTTTATTAGGCGTTAGTGTTTTTGTCTGTATCAGTATTTAAATTCTATGTTAGTTTTGTTTTCATTGGTTATGTGAACCTCACGCGTATATCTCATGACGTCTCTGTGTTTGCATTTTTTTCAAATTTTTCCCTTAGCTTAAGGATAAAAATCCGCTCTTTCACAACTGTTGGACGCAAAAAGACAGAGTTTATATCATCTGCAAATGAATGATTCTTGGATTCTTTCAGTACGTAACCGTAAATTCTATTCTAATAGTTTCTTTTCTTGCACTTCTCACCTGTGGAACTGTCATCCTATTTCTTCTTCCCTGACACCTACAATCTTCAAAAATTTAAATGCAACATCAATCGCAATCTTCTGTGTTCTTCAAACCTGTTCTTTTATTGTTCTTTCTCTTCACTAAATTCTTCTCCTTCTCTTTCACTCCCTTTAAACTCTTTGCATCTTAGTGACATTATAACCTTGCTTGGGGTGAAATATTGATGATATAAGGAAATTGGTAATTATTGTATGTCGATCATTTATTCGTACAGTCATATTACGTTGGAACACCGCTTCTCGTACGATCACTGAAGTTAAGCAACGTCGAGCCTGGTCAGTACCTAAATGGGTAACCGCTTGGGAATACCAGATGCTGGATGTGCGCGTGGTGTAATAGATATCGGCTCGGAATTGGAATTAGGAGAGCCGAGTTACAATTCCTTTTGGATTCGTTATGTTCACTTACGCGTAAAGTCCAACCCTTACCTCACAGTCGGTTGGGGGGTGTAAAACGGTAGTGTCAGAGCTATGCCGTCCGGAACTTCGTTCCTGGAAGGGCCACCAAAGCGGACAGGTCTGACACACACACCGGCTAACAAGGGCTCTGGTGAAAATCCAAGGAGCGTCTGCATCGGCAACCGGCGGCTTCTGGTCGTTCCTGTCTCTGCGTCTATGGGAACCCCGCGGCAAGCAAGAACGTTATTCGAGTAGGCCTGGGTACCCTACTTCTGTAATTTATCCCAAGAATCTTCTTCTTACAACAGGAAGAAGCCGGCTCAATCCGCCCAGGGTGAATGCCGCTTAAAAAAAAAAAAAAAAAAAAAAAAAAAACTTACGCGTAAATACACATGGGAAAGGCATGAATCTACCTCTTCTATCTCCTCCAGATATGGGTTAATTAGTAAGACTTGTATCAGTAAAAATCATTACTATCTCCCCCCAAATTCTTAAAATCTAAAATATTTTCGGGCTTTAAATAACCTGCAAAAGGTTGATAAGCCATAATAAATCAATGTCGGTATTAGTAATAAGAATATTTTGTTTACTAACATAGCATGTTTTTATATTGAAATTATGGCCTGTTTAGTTTCTATGTGATACTAACGAATTTAATGAGATATCCGAACGAAGGTCTCTTCTGTGTTCATATGTGCGGTTTTCTTAAACACATAGAGCAAACGAAAGACAAGCAGATGATATCAAATTTTATTATACAAGTCAGTGTTTTTTACAATAAAACAATGCTTATAAAATCCTCAGGCTCTATTGATTTTGAGATAAACAATATATCGTGTGTAACTTATTTTTTATTTATTCATCAATATATTCAAAAGCTATAGGCTATAAAATATCAATCAATCAAAATATCGTCATTATCGACTGTCCGTTGTATTTGATGAAGACATACAGGCCTGATACCATTGTCTTCTCTCCATCACACAGGACGTCTTTCCTCTCGTTGTCTGTGCTGGATTATAATGTTGAAATTGTTGCCGTGCACCAGCAGCAGCAGCAGCAGCAATTCCTGGATTGACTAGTACTGATCCAATTCTAATTGTACTACATATCGCCAACCGTTGTCCCTGCTGGAGAACTCATCCACCTGCCGAAGGAAACAGTTCTGACCAAACAGTCTGCTGCAGACAGGGATATGCAATCGCAATCCACCAGCCTGCTGCCAGTGGCTTCCCCGTCTCCCTGGCATGGGGTGCTTAGAAGTTACTCAGACTAGCTCAAAATCTCACCCCAACCTAACGGAAAGAATGTGTCGATTTACTTCTTCATTGGTCAGCTGCAAATGTCCGGGTCAATATATTTCACTCATTGATTTTGTGATTTTATCTAAATAAATTCTATTGCTTCCCCGAAATCTTTGCTTGAATATTGTACTGATTCGTTCTTCCATGGAATACTGCTGCCATATATGGTCTGGTGCTCCTGTTGTTCATCTCGAGGTCCTCGACAAAATCCAGAGACGGATATGCAACGTAATTGGTCCTGATTTGGCATCCCGTCTAGAGACTCTTTCTCACAGACGGGATGTGGCTTCCCTCTGTCTTTTCTACAAGTATTTTCATGGCAATTGCTCCAACAAGCAACTTTCACTGGTTCCCAAACTGCATGAATTTAAATGTTCTACTAGGTTGGCATCTCGGTCCCAACCTTTCACTGTCGTAACGGTTACTCTCACTCTCTGTAACACCTTGTTTGGGGTGATTTGCTTAAAAATAAAAAGTCTAATTGACTAAAATAGTGATTCAATCTCATCACAATATAAAACTTCATTGAATAATTGAATCACCATAATATTGTTATTACTTTATCTATCTTTGATTTGTGATTACTTTGAATATAATTGCCTATTGAAGGTGGTTGATTGATTCGTTTTTTTACGGTTTATCAACCTTCACAGGCTACTTAAAGCCAGAAAATATTTTTAGATTGTAAGAATTTTTTTAGATAATGACTCAACGGTAATTGAGACTCGACACTTCGATTAACAATTCAGAGCCATTATCCATCAAACTATCTGTACATCCAAGCTTACAGCACCTGGTATTCCCAAGCGGTCACCCATCTAGGTACTGACGTTGCTTAATTTCGGTGACCGTACGGCAACTGGTGTTTAAATGTCATGTGATCCTAAGCCCTTTTTAAGGCGAATTTTTGCGGATTATCTTATTTAAATTATTAATTGTTATTCTTAGATTCTCTGTGAATTCATTCTTCGTAACAGTAATCATTAGCACTGTATGTGCGTCTACCAATTCCATTGAGTCAACTGCTTTATTCAAATTGTTGTCTTCCTCAAACACCGTGGGTCAGGTAAATGGTAATCAAGACGATATTGTTTTCCATTCTCATATCCATCACCTTTAATGAAGGACTACAAATCTTTTGTTAAGAGAATTTGTTGACTTTTCCATTAACTTAGTATCTTTGAATCTTTTTCGCCAAGGTCAGCCATAGTCAGTCTTACAGAATATAAGAAGCAAGAAAATATTCTTTGGCGATTTGGTCGAAAATATCTTGTCCAAGAACTTACATTTGTCTCGAACCATCATCAACTTTGAAAGTGTTCATAATTTTACTGCCTACAACTCTACCCCAAAACTTTATTTCAATTCTACACTGTTGTATTTTAAGTTGTGCTGATTGACTACTTCTATGAAGGACCTAACAAGTAGTCCAGCTATCAGGTTCATTCAATGTAGCTCTATATTCATCAATCTCCCCCCAAATATCATTGAGGCTACCATCCGCTGGGTGGGTAACGTGCCCAGAATGCGTTCTACTCTACTCCCATGTATCATCATCTTTGGAGAACTCGCCAGCAGCAAGAGGCTACGTGGAGGCCCAAAACGACGCTTCAAGGGTTAGTTGAAAACATCCCTGACACATGCCAACATCAAACCTGAGACCTGAGAAACCGATGTTGCAAATCGGCCTTCTTGGTGGAGGACCATCCGAGGCGGGGGGGGGGCAAACTTTCGAGCCCAACCGTCAACATGAAGAGAATCTTCGACATTCAGTCAGGAGGGCCCGACTAGCTCAGGCGCATCCACCACCCACACTTTTCTATGACTTCTGCTCACGACTCTTCAGGGGTAGGCTGGGCCTTTCACAGCCATTTTCGCTACCGCTAGCAGAGGGAAGAAATGAAATAAGGAGCAAGAATGACGATCCCAATACTCCGATGCGATCAGTTGCCGACGACATTCATCAATAAAAATTAATGTTCAGAAATCAATTTTCATGTACATCTTTGTCCAACTTAACGTTTCATTCCAATTTTTTTGCCTATTACCTTTTTAACTTTTAGAAAATCTCTTTAAGTAACATTCTAAAAAGGCCAGATTTTTTTCCCAACATTTTCAACTTTTTTTTTTGATTGTTCTCTGACTTGATTTGATTTTACGATGACGTTCACCTTTTACAAAGCTCGGGGGCCACTCGAGGTAGATAGTTACAGAGGCAAACTTTATGCGGATATGTGGGGAAGATAACGGTGGACCCTAGACTTGAACACGTTATTGAAGGGATCGGAGAAGCATCCTATTGGGAGTCTGTTCCACAGAGCAGCGCAACACTTTCACAATTTCCTAAGAGACAATAAAGTTATGTCATGTTTATCTTCTCTTGATATTCTATATCTCTCATGATCAATGCGGAACATACATATATTTGGCAGCTTTATGACCGTGATTAAAAACAAAGAGAAGATGTCTAACATGTTAATTCTTGTCTAGTTGGCATTCCCTCTCAAAAGCAGGTGTCTATTCTTAAATTAAATTGTCAATAACGTTAGGCAACAATTTCACAGGATGACCAGAGTTACTAATAAGTAAAAATGTTACGAAAGATTATACTTCGAGCTAATTCGCAGAACATCAGAAAAACGTGTGATGATTGGTTGATAATGTGTGTACGTGTTCGTAAGTTTAAATAAAATAAATAAAAATGCCCACTAGACCCATACGCACACACATTATCAACTGATTCCCGCACAGACAACAAGAATTATGATACACATACACACATGAAGTATACACACGAATGTTACGCTTCCAAGGAAGACAAACACACGGTATGTCTGCTTGACAAGTGAAAAACAAAAAAAAATTACTAGAATTTTCTTTTCTCTTCCATAATTCATTTTCTGATGAAGCTTAAATAAAAAAAGCGTAATATGTTACATTTATAAATATTTCCTATTTGTTCCTTATCGTACTATATATATATATATATATATATATATATATATATATATATATATATATATATATATATATCAATGTGGATTTAAACCAAAAACTAGATATTAGCAATCGTATATACGTGCGTTAGCGTACATACACAGGTAAGCGAATAAATATTTACTCAATTTAATATAAGGTGTAAACAAAACAGTACTCAATGTGGTTAAACAGAGCTAAAAAGTATATATTAGTAAATATACATATACCTACGTTCGAAGTGCAACTTAAGTTTCGTTGTTCATCAGGCGTAAATTATTACTTTTGAGTTAAAAAAAATTATACCTTCGAACTTAGTTATATGTATATTTATTAATATATATATATATATATATATATATATATACCATCCCAAACACCGTAGTAGAAAATAAAAGTATAATAGCCTAATCCACATATAAAAAACATTCAAAATAATGGAAGCCTTAATAATAAAAAAGGAAAAGCCAACACTCAATAACATCAACTACGAATACGGCCATAATGTGCTGACCGTATAACTTTCGTTAAAAATAAAAGATAAAAATACTCCTTGATAATGGCTAAAAGGATAGCCGAAAGCGCTCAGACATACAGAACTCTTGGACAGTTTTACACATTTTGTGTTTGTGCCCAGAAAGGAAAACACATGTACGAACACAAGAAAAATTAAATAAAATGTTTAATCGCAGTAACCTGTCAGTTGTGTTTAACAAAACATGCAGGAAAGAGCGATTGCTGCCAATACACAATTCATATATATATATATATATATATATATATATATATATATATATATATATATATAATTATTTATTTCAGAATACTAAAACAAAGACATGTTACCTGTATATATATATATATATATATATATATATATAGAGAGAGATAGATAGATAGAGAGAGAGAGAGAGAGAGAAAGAGTGAGAGAGAAAGAGAGACCCATCCTCTCTATAGTCAATCAGGGTGGGGATCCTCGAAGGAGGAAAAGGCCATTAATCTGGATCTGATCCAATGAGCTTACATCCTCGGTTGAAAATCACGACTTTGAATTTCTTAGTGCTGTTACAAAACTGATTAAGAAAGACGCCGTACTTTTGGTTATTTCTTTTATTTTCCCAAGTACTTTCAATCTCATCTAAGATTATCTTCAGGGGTGAATTGCTGAGACAAAAAATTAATGTAATTGATAGTTGTGAATTTTTTATTTTTATTTTTTTGTAAACGCGCATGAAACGCGTCTCGTTATAGTTAATTTACGTTAAGAATAGTTAAGGGAGGTAACTTAGTTAACAGTTTTTATTATTAATGTTTTAAAAATACTCAACCTGTAATTTGGAAAAAAAAAACATTGCTTTTATAGACATTTTAAAACATTGTTGCTATACTCATAATTAATTTTATTTAGTGTTTTTTTATACAGATCGCTTCCTGAATTTGAAGTTTTTGATTTTATTCTAATGGTGGAGTATATTTGTATTATGAATTACTCTTCCTCTAAAACGTGAATGTGAACAGAAATCTTCTTTTTGATATTGTACAAGAGAACTTGAATCCGATATGTGTAAAGTAAACCTATCAATTACATTAATCTTTGTGTTAGCAATTCCCACCTGAAAACGACTCTAAATTAACTTTTACATTTTATTTGTCAATAATAAACTGAAGTATTTTAATGATAATAATTCTCTATTAGATTTAAAGTTGTTGTATTGAGTAAAAACAGATGTTCACTAGCAGAATTTAGTGCAAAGATTGTATTCACAAGATAAATTTTATATTTATAAGAGTAGAAAAATACGTGAACCAATTACAATGCCATATTTATTATTTTTTATTTTAAAGGGTGTTTCATTAAGACGGATCAAAGTCAGCCGTAAATAAATCAGTGTTATTGGTGAAAATTTATTTATTTCTCTATTGGATCATGTTATTTAAGTCATCGCAATTATGTGTGAAAAATAATATCATCCAAATGTCCGCCAATGCTTCGGTGGCACACCTCCACTCGATGGTCAAAATTTTTGATGACGTCTCTGCTTAGTGGGTCCCTCGATCTCACCAATATACTTTATTATCTCATCCTTCAGCTGTTGAATTGTTGTTGGCTTGTTGGCATAGACCTTACTTTTGAGATGACCCCCAAAGGAAGAAATCTAAAGGCGTCAAGTCGCACGATCGTGGTAGCCAATTGACTTTCGAGAGATGATGCGACCTGGAAACTTTTCATTTCATTTCTGTTTGAACGTCCATTTTCGTAATAGGCTTCGATAACTTTAACACGTTGTTTAATTGTTAATCTTTCCATGGTTGAGATTGCCAAAGACTTAAGTGGTTAAATCTGAAAGAAAAAGAGAAATATCATTAGACACTTAAACTTAATTCATATTTAAAATCGGTCCAAGTTATTGGAACATACTTTATAAAGATTTATTATTTACCATTTTATAAAGTCATGAAAGCAAACATTTTTTATTCAAAATTATCTTTGAACTACAGAACAAGAAGATTTAAATAAACATTAATAAACGGATAGCACAACTTTTAAGTATATCAAAACAAATTGGTACCCGAGGAAAATATTGGAAAAAGAAAGAAGAAAGAACTAGAAACATCCGTTGTTTCAACATGATATGGCCGTAAGCAGGAAGTCATGGTAATTTATTGTTGATTAAATAATTGATTCGTTTTATACGGTTTATCAACCCATTGCAAGCTTTTTGAAACCAGAATTATTTTTTTAGATTGTAGGAATTTTTTTTGGGGGGGGATAATAGTGGTTTAGTAATACAAGTCTTAGTAATTAACCCATAGTTGGGGGAAGAAGAGATGGATTCATACCTTTCCCAAGCGTATTTGCGTGTAAGTGAATATAACGAACCCAATGGCAATTGGAACTCGGCTCATTGAAATTCGGCCATTATCCATGAAACCACCCGCACATCCTGATATTCCCAAGCGGTCACCCATCTATGTACAGACCAGGCTCGATGTTGCTTAACTTCGCTTATCATACGGGAACCGGTATTTCAACGTGATCTGGCCATAAGCTCATAGCAATTTACAGTATTCGGATACGGATATATTGGTTCACGTACGTAACCATTTTCTGTGATTTTTAAAATAAAAAAGAAGATACAAATAGGCGTCCTATTAAGGAAAATGTCCCTGAGTCTAAGTCAATTTTCTCAGCTCAAAGTTGTCTTAACGAGCAACTGATTCCTCCCGCCTCCATTTACTGATTGTTAGTATTATATCTTTTAACTGGTATCCGGGGTCTTGTTCTGTATTATCTCATTTTGATTGACCCTTAGCGTTGTAAACATGTTTATTAAGTAAACACAAACTGAATGACCTCTTCAAGCTCTTTATAAAACGGACGCCGTTTCTTCATTCTACCAGCGTCAGTTTAAAGTGGCTACTGACAATTTAATTAAGATTATTACGAGTCAATCACAAGGGCTAGGGTTTGGGCGCGAACTCAATTAATTATTCTACATTGTTGTTCGTCTTCTTTTTTGATGACTTGTCAGAATTTCTCTATCGTTCTCTTTTCTTATATAACTGGCGTCTTTTGTCTACTTAAGATAACAAAGATGTGTTAAGTGATGGCTCAACAGCTTTCTTCTGGTCGGGACGTGGCTAGTATATTTACAGCTATGGATAGTTAATAGTTTGTCATAGTTAGGATGAGAGCACGAATTAAATGATTACAACTATTAGTTAACTTATTATTACCGGCAAATTAGTAGACCAATTAGAAAAAGAAAAGCAGTGGTGGCTGGCCGCTCCTATCCGAGTCTACTAGAGTGATTAGTTATGTCTGTTCTACACCCACAGAGTCCACCTGTAGTTTATACTACAATTATGCTGAGCAGACCTTAGTTGCAGTTTGTGTGAGAGAGCGCGTTTTCAGTACGTAAAACCTTCGGTCACGATGACTTGTGACTTTGTGCTAGTACAACCAAAATAGTTCTGTCTACCCTATTTCACTTGGGCCAACCCGTGGTATGGTTTTCAGGAACTTTCCAAAGCTGCCCCAATGCCAACGGATAACATCAAGACGTCACCTTCCTCATATAAATCCACTATAATTAAATTCGAAAGCGAGCGTTCTAAGCACTCGGCCATGATGAGAACAGTAATCAGTATGAATTACAGGTAACAACGTTAACAAGCCCGCTTTACGGACCAAATCCACCCACTACGATGGCCTTATGCCAGACTAAGTCATGCTTAGTGAATAATTACACTAATGGGTTATTTAAGTTGCATCTTCTGATTCCATCACTGTAGGGTATACCGATGGTGTAATGGTTACCGGCGCGGCGAGTGAGATTACAAACCCGTGTTCAAATCTCGGTCGATTCTGTTTCATTTACTTCGGTCTAATTCCCCCGAAAAAAGATATATATCCATCTCCCCGCTTCTTAAATACAAAGATAAAATAGATTTCCTTAAATTAAATAAAAGCCAATATAGAAAAAATATCTGAATTCAAACCTGAGGAGGTCTGAGGTGACACTGTGCGCCATTTCACTGTTATCAGTACTACTGAAAAGCTCTTGGAAAAAAAAACATAAATCAATCCCCCAAGATATGTGTTAAATAGCAGGTCAAACTCGGCTCTCTTGCCTTGGGTGGCAACAAGTCTAGGAGAAGGAAAATTCTGAATTTAAACATGAGTCGGTATACTTGAAGACTTCATAGCACCCTGTTCCCAATTTCTCTGTTATCAGTGCTTTTGAAAATCTCTTGGAAAAAAAATAAATCCATCTCCCAACTATGGATTAAATGACAAGACAGACAGACTTGAAACTCTTGCTTTGGGTGGCAAAGAAAAGGAAAATTCTGAATTTAGACATGAAGAGATATGCTTGGGGACTTCATGGCATACTGTGCCTCATTTTCCTATAATCTAGACTCTCTTTCTTTGAGTTTAAAGGAGAGCAGATTTTTGCAGGCAAAATGCTCAATATAAAAAATAGAACAATAGGTAATAAAAAAATTAAAAAGGTTTATCTTTCCAACTTCAAGTTTCAGATAACTGACCCCAACGAGAAGTGTATCTGCGAAACTTGAAGTCAGAAAGATAACTCTTTTTAACTTTCATATGTGCGATATATATATATATATATATATATATATATGTGTGTATGTGTGTGTGTGTGTGTGTGTGTGTGTGTTACAAAATAATAGGAAAGACCAGCCAGATTTATAATCCAGAGTTCTTTAGTATTTATTTAAAAAAAAAAACAGTGCTCGATACACAGTAGAGCATAATATTATAATAATAATTAATATTATTACAATATATATATATATATAGATATATATATATATATAATCTTATCACGGAGCTCAGTAAATAGCAGAGACACCAGACCATATATGGCAGCAATATTCTAGACATAGATATGCATAAGGAGGACATGTGTTCAGAGGATTGGCGCGAAGAGTTGTTAGAAAACAACTGATATCGATCTAAGCATTTCCATAAAGTCAAGGTACAGTGGCACCACACAACCTAACTTTCAGATAGTGTAAGTTCATGACTTTTGGCACACACACACACACACACACACACACATATATATATATATATATATAAGTGGACACTGAGGTCAACAGGGACAGTCTGTTTTATGCTTGAACGTAATCTTCAGGTAATTTACATTCGCTCTATCCCTGATATTGAGAACTTTTAGCCATTAAAACTATTTCAAAACTACTTTAAAACTATATTTTATCATTCATATATATATATATATATATATATATATATATATATATATGAATTATAAAATATAGTTTTAAGGTAGTTTTAAGATATATATATATATATATATATATATATATATATATATATATATATATATATATATATAAATGATAAAATATAGATTTTTTTAACTATAGTTTTAATGGCTAATTTTCACATAATTAAAACAAGCAAATAACTTCCTATTCAACTATTTCGCTGTGTGACAAATTAAAATTCAAAAAAGAAGTCAGTAAATCACCATTTTTTAATTATTTTTTTCATTCAGTTATGCTTATTTATACTCAAGGGATGAGCAAGGGGCATAATGGTTCTCAATATAGAAAGTGAAATCAGCAAGATGAGTTCAAGTTCTGTCCTAGTCTGCTGTATTCACTTTGTTCTAATGCACCTAGAAAATACATGAATCCATTTTAACCACTGCCCCCGGCGTGGTTTAAATAGCAGCGCAGCTCTAACCTTTGGTAGCATCCAGTCTGGGAGAAAGACAAGTCAGAATTCGAAACTGTGAAGCAGTCAACATGAAATTGCTCCACTGTTTCTCTCCAAGTAGCTATGGAAATTCACAGTTAATAAAGAAAAGGAATCTGTGGAGAGCTATGGTCACCTGTCTGGAAGGGATATGGCTTTTAAAAAATATGCCTATTCATTATGTTAAAAGAAAAATACAAGTCCAAAAACAGTTCTCTTCAAAACCTGGTTTTTAGACAGTTTTTTTTTTAGATCTGCTAATCTTCAAGATTTTTTCTTTACTTTTATTTGCCTAGCTTTCTTCCAGAGTGAAAGATGAAAAATGTTATCAATTCCTGAAAATAACTCATGTTAGTCTAAAGCTTGGACACGGCCTTGATTTCAGACAGTTTTTACATCAGCAGCAGCCAGGTTTTCGGAATGTTATTTGCAGTTTGGAAAAGCAATGGATAAATTCAATAGACATAGAACGTCAATTCAATAGACATAGAACGTTAATAAGACTTGTTTAAACGAACATCTAATTATACTAAATTTAAATAATTGTAATGCACTTCTAGAGTAATTAATTTTCACTGAAATTCTATTGATGCTTTTAATAATAACACTAATACTAGCTATGTAATTAGAAGGAAAAAGTTTAGACGTGTGAAGGTCGGTAAAATGGTTCTAAGCCTCGCCCAGAAGGAATTGAAGAAACAAGACAATTTTTCACTATTTTTCAATATAGTCCCCCTTGACACCAATGCACTTAGTTCAGCGAGGCTTAAGCATTGCAATCCCGTCACAGAAGAAGCTGGTGCCCTGGTTTTTCCAAAACTCCACCACAGCACATGATTTCATTGTTTCCAATATGGCAACCATGCAGGTATGATTTGAGTTTAGGAAACAGGAAGAAGTCAGATGGAGCTAAGACTGGTGAGTAAGAGGGATGGGGTAGCAATTCAAAATGACAGTTGGCTGCTTCAGCTACTGCAACTTGAGCAGTGTGAACAGGCATGTTATTCTGGAGCACAAGTACACCTGCCCCCCCCTCCAGCTTCCTTCTGTTTTTCTACTTGATTACTTCCTTCAGTTGTCTTAATTCTACCTATTAATAGTCCCCCCCTTTCCAGGTAGTCTATCATGATTATGCCTTTTGAATTCAAAAAAAAAAAACCAGAAGCCATCACCTTGTCAACAGGCGCTGCCTTCTTGAACTTCTTCAAGGGTGGAGAACCAGAATGTTTCCAAGTTTGCTTTGAATCTTTGATTCAGATTTGAAGTGGTGAACCCAGGTCTCATCTTGAGTTCCTAATCTGTGGTGGAAATTCTCAGGGTCAACCTGGAAGCGAGTCAGAAGTGTCCTGGAAATGTTAACCTTTTTCAGCTGCTGCTCTGGTGTCAGCATTCTTGGTACTCATCTTGCAAGATCTCAGTTAAAACAGTATGAACTGAATCAGAACTAATGCTATCGGTTGGACAGTAAGATATGTCATCTCAAACCATACAGTGAATGGAATTAATTTGTTCATCAGTGGTTGCGGTTTTGGGACGACCTGACCAAGGGTCATCTTCTATGCTGCCTCTGCCCCACATTCAGCAACCTATTTCTTCACAATTGTATAGGAAAGGGAGTCCTCAGCAAATGTTTGCACCATATCCTCATGAATTTCCCTGGGGTGTCATCCCTTTCTTTTGCAGATACTTTATGATTGCTCGGGCCTATTTTGTTCATTTTTAGATTCGTCGCACGCCTCTCAGTTTTTAAAGAACCTCACCCACCCAGAAATTAAAACAGAAAACTTAACGGTAG